ATTTTCAAAAATATATGTGGTTTTGCGAGGAGATTTCTGTTGCTCTAGTCACACCACCATCTTGGCTCTGCCCACCTGACTTCTTTTTTATAACAAATACAGGGGAATTCCACAGGCTTGTGGAAAATTCTAATCTATCTAGCTGAAGCTATTCTCTAACTTGTGTAAGGCTGCCACTTTTTCTTTATTAAGGGGCTATTGATCCACCCAAACAGGCACAGGGATAATGTTTCCCTGTCTGTGAGCCTCTTTGAAATATTAATGCATTATTCCTATCCGCTTGCCTGAGGGTTCCCTGTGGAGGCAACTGATAAAAATACTTTTTAATATATTTATAAGGTTGAGCAAAGTTCTTTTTAGAAGTTTTCATTCCTGGTGTTTTCAGGAGGGCACAGAGTAATTTTAAGTAATCCTCCGGTTTATCTGCTTTAGTTTCATGTTGGCCCATTATAGTGTCCCTGACATCTCAATCCTGTTCCCTACGTACACTTTCCCTGGAATCTTCATGGATCGACGATCTTAGGAGTTTTTTCCCGTCCTTGAATTGCAAGTGCTGCCAAGCAGAGGTTCTCCACCCTGAGTTTCGACCATCTTTCAGGTCCCTGTTCGGACTCCACTCGTCGGCCTCCTCCCTGTCTCTGACCCGCAGATAAAGGAGGCAACGTGATGAGATATCGAAGACCTGCGAAGGCCAGCCAGGGGACTCAAGGCAAACCAGCTCAAGAGTGGTGCTGGAAAGGCACCTCTCAAATTTATTGATCAGGCATCACATTCTAAGAGTGGGTTAACACATTTCTAGACACAATGATTAACATGCAGGAATGTAATTGCCCCCAGGTCACTGGGGCAAGTCGTCCCTGTCGCCAGGCAATGAGGGGGTAGAGATAACAAGACACAGATCTCGGTTTAGATTTAGTGAGCTGCCGTATGCACCACAGATAACAAAGAAGGCAAACAATTCCCATAGAAACAGAATGATCTATGGATGGCAACCTACGGGTGACTTGATTTAGTCTCATCAGGACTCAGCCCCAGGATTAACTCCTCTGAGATGTCTCTCTTGAGTTGCAGATTGGCCCATGTATTCCCTGCTCTGAGCTCTATTTGTGATAAGAACTTGAATTGATTAACTTTCTAGAGAGAAACTGGGCAATATGCAGTAATAAATATATAAATGCTGGAAGACAAAACTGAAAACTCATGCCTTTCAGTTCAGCAATTCCAACAATTCTCTTAAGGTAATAAACAAATACCCAAAGACATATGTGCAAGAATCTGCATTCCAACACTGTTTATAGCAGCAGAACATTGAAATGACCTAGCTTTGTATAAGTTGAGGATTTGTGGAATAAATGTTGACACATCAACAATGAAACACCAAAAAGCAGTAAAAAGGGTGAAGTAAATCTATACATATTGTTAGGGAAAACAGAAAGTTATAGATCCCACTTTGGATTAAAAAACTATGTGTGTAGTATACAAATATGTGTATATAGATATACATTATATTTAAAAGAAGACAGTCATGAATGGGATACCCCAGTTCTAACAATGGTTATCTCTGGTATATGATAACAGAGGGGTTCATACTACTACGTTAAACATTACTATTTATTTTAAATTTTAAATTTTTTTATTCATTAACAGAGTATTTTGATTTTTTTAAGAAAGTAGTTGGTGTTTATTTACAGTTACATAGAACCTGAAAACAATCTAAATAACTATCAACAGGATACTAGATAAATAAACTGCCGTATTTCATGTAACATAATATACACTATGCAAAAAGAATGGATTTCAGTGACTCATAACAATATAGAGAAATCATAACAATATTAAGGGAAAACATTAACTCCCAAAAGATTATACATAGCATGATACTTTTTAAACATTGAAAATAACTTAAATGTACACATAAATGCATATGTTTTAGGAATACAGATGGAGTCATTAACATGATACAAAACAAAAAGTAAGGAAATGATGAATATGAAATTCAGAATGGTGGATACCTACACTGGGGGAGGCTGGGGATGAGATGGATGAGGGAACAAGGAGATTATGGAGTTAAACAGAGTATATCACCCATAGATAAGTTTATAGGTGCTTATTATATTATTAAAGGTAATTAAATATGTAAATAAAAGCAGGTCAAGCATGGACTAATGCTGAGGATGTATTAGGAACCAAAGATGATGAATAATTCAATTCTGCTGTCCGTGAGGTTGAAAAAAGAGTAAGAATGCCCTCATCTGACAATAAAAATTAATTTTAGATAGGAGTTTTGACGTGTCTCAAAAGTATGGGTTTCAAGAGCTGCATCCCGCCTAAGACTAACAACTTGATTGGCAACATCAGTAAGTCTGTCAATCTTGTTTTGCTCAGGTAGGTCCTTAAGGCATTCTACTAACAGGCTTCTCAAACCCTATCTTCTCCCCATTGTCCCACCCTAAACACCCTCCCCTCCCTCAAAAATCCTGCCCTGGGAGACTTCAAAGCTGATGGGAAGGAAAGTGTTAACTAGAAGTGGGATATTTAGTAGAGAAATTTATATTTAGAGAAGGAAGTTAAATTCAATTCTTTAGTAGCATTAATTTATATAGAATACAAATGAAATGAGCTGGGAGCCAGGTGGCCAGAAGATGCAGATTTGAAGATAGATCACTCCAATTAAATCCAATGACCCAGGAATAATAATTGTGTTTGCATTTAAGGAATTTAAGTATCTTTAAGAGAAAAGTCAGCAGTAGTTTCACTTCATTTACTGTAGGGGAATAAAAGGCAGGTCTAGTGCCAAGTCCTGGTGGATGAGACATGAATTAATCAGAACCATGGATACAGAATTTATGTAATCTCTATCATTCAGTGCCAAAAGGCAAAATGTCATGGGGCAAATGCCTGGGTAACAGCATAGAGCATCTGTTTCAGTAGTTGAACTACTCCTGACCTAAATCTGGCATTTGGACAGGAGTCTGAAGGTTCTAAACTGGCTTCAGAGGCATTTATAGACCCAAGTGCTTGCCTGACCAGGGCTGCAATGGTGTGGTATCAAGCACGCTAATGCCATTTCACATCAAAAAGAGAAGGAAAAATATTTCACATTCTCCGTTGTCTACAATTCTGGGAGTGTCTGGAATAAAAGATTCTCACAGAGTGCCTGTCACACTGCTTGGCTCCTCAGTGGTTGCCACGTGTCCTATTCTTTCTATACTGATCTCATGTCTCCTAACCCCTGTGCTAGGCAGACAGACTAAAGACCCCACCCCAACCCCCCAAGGATGTCCAGTGTCCTAATTACCACAACCTAGTTATCTGTTTGTGATGGGCTGTCCTTAGCATTTTGGTTTCATAACCTTGAGGCATTTACAGACCTAGATTTTGATTTGCTTACATATGCTGCCAGGGCATTAGAACCATCTCAATCTAAAGGCCTCCTTGTTTAAGTTAATCAAGCCTTAAAAGTAGAAGAGGGAGGCAGGAAAGTAATGTGACATGAGAAAAACTCTTACTGGCTTTAAAGTGGCCAATACACCAAGGAATGCTGGAAGCCTCTAGAAGCTGAAAATGGCAAAACAAACAAAAAAACAGATTCTCTACTACAGCCTCCAAGAAAGGAATACAGACCTACATTTTGACTCAGTGAGACCCAACTCAGATTTCTGACCAGAACTGTTAAGGTAAGAAATAAATGTTTAACAGGAGATCTACCCTCTTAACAGATTTAAATGTACAATAAGGATTACCTAGAGGCAAAATATTGTACAACAGATCTCTAGAACTTTTTCCTATTGTGTAATGAAACTTTATACTGTATTTAATTTGTTTTGTTTTAAGCCACTAAATTTGTGGTTAACTTGTTAGAGCAGCAATAGGAAACTAACATGGCACAGAATCCATAAAGTCTGAATTGCAGTTTGGTACAAGCACCCAAATGTTGGCCTCTTTCTCCTCTCGTTGTCCACCTTACCACCTACCTACCACTTTCATAAGGGCAAGCACTATGTTCTGCTCATGTCTCTATTCCCAGCCCCTAGAAAAGAGCTAGCATTTATTAGGCACTAACCAACTATTAACCTGTCAAAATCAAACCTCTGATTCCTGGAGCTTATCTAGTTCTGCCAGTAGTTAGTCAAATCCTTTTGCTAATGTTTTACATGCGACCGGTAAAGAATTCTGGGATTGCTTAGGAAATAAGCACATTACATAGTTACTTGGGATCATTTTTCCCTTTTAAACTCTTAAACGTTTTTATATTTTCTTATGTTGTTTTGTGAGGATGGGGCTTTTATTGGGTAAGAGGTTGCAGTTAGATTAGCGTTTATCAAGGAGATTTGGGAACGACGTTTCAAAACTATTTAGAAAGTTCTTAAAGAACACACTTCCAGGCCCTACCGAAAGCTTGCTGAATCCTATTTCCTCACGTTAGGGTGAAGGAAACTATATTTGACAATTCCACTCGTGACCCCTTGGCACAATGAAATTGGAATCAAAACATCTGCCTCTAATTTGCTAATTAGAAAAAAACATTATTTGCCTTTCTTTTTTAATTTTCGGAGCCTGGCTGTCCAAAGACCTCTTAGTGTCATTTAGCGTCAGCCAAAACCTCCGGCCTGAGTGAGGAAACTGGAGATGCTGGTTTCTCCCAGGTCAGGATCCCAGTGCCACGCCGACCCCTTGACACGGCGAGAGCGCCGAGTCGGCACGGGTACCCACGGGCGGGACTGCCTCACACCACGGGTTCTCCATTGGCTGAGGTAGCAGAATCCGCGACGGGGCCCCTGCTCCGACTGAGAATGAGCAAAGGCCAGGAGGAGGAGCAGCAGCTCAAAACACTCGAGCTCAGACCTAAGGGCAGTTCGCACCCAAACTGGGTGTGGCGGGAAAACGCCCCTCTGGCGCCCGGAAGCCGTGAACTCCGCCCTCCTGCTGTTGAAACTGAAAGCCCTGTTGGCCCCGTCTGGCTCCGGATCCTCCTCTCGACCTCACACACGCACACACTGCGGCGACGGACGTTTGTGAGTGGTGCACCTCGCCCCGCCGGAAGCACTTCCCTGAGCGGAAGCTTCTGAGAACGAAATAGCGGAAGTGCTTTCTCTTCCGCTCTTTTTGGTCTTTGCCAGAAGCGGTATGGTGAGTAGTTTTCAAGGGGTCACTTAATCGTCTTTCATCCTCTTTTTCTGCGCTCAGCTCCCTGCCATCCGTGAGGCGCTAGCAAGGTTCTTGATAAAGGGGAGCGGGTGGGCAGGAAAGGGGCCTTTAAAAGCCGGAAAAATGGGCTCTTAACTGTACCTAAGGGTGCCGAGCCTGCAGCCGTGGAGCTGGCACCGCTCTAGGTTCCTTGACTCAGCCTGAGTGGGGAGCCTGCGCACCCCTGCGTTCGGATGGGAACCGAGTGAGGAAGAGTGATTTGGGAGTGCTTGACTTTAGTGTAAGCAAAGGAATTTACTGATGCCTGGCAGGAGCCCCTTTGTTTTGAAGTAGGAGTACTTAGGAAAGCCACATTATTTCGTCTTTTCGCTGTATGCCCTTTTTTTTTTCCTAATAGATTTAAAAACAGCTCTTGCCGAAGGGTGTAGATAATGTGAAATGTACGCAGTGGGCTCAGATTTAGCACTTAGGAGAAGTTAAAAACCTCACCCACAGTTTCGGCCTCTTTGCCCTTAAATCTTAGTAGTAGTTTTTTCCTGAAAGCATGAGAGTATGTATGGTAATTACTAGGTTTCAAAATTCTTTATCCCCTTACTTTGTAGACGAAAGGAACGTCATCGTTTGGAAAGCGTCGCAATAAGACGCACACACTGTGCCGCCGTTGTGGCTCGAAGGCCTATCACCTTCAGAAGTCGACTTGTGGCAAATGTGGCTACCCTGCCAAGAGGAAGAGAAAGTGTAAGTTGAATGATTTTCAGGCCCATTGGAGTGGATCTTGAAGTTAAAAATAATGTCCTGTTTGTATATTTCATGGCTTTAGAAATTACTTGGTGCTTAACATAAAATTGCATCTGTAAGCCAGTATACTGGATTTAAAACCAAAGGCAGGCACTCCTAAGTATATTGATCAACAGTGCCTGCAAAATGTGTGGAAAAAAAACATTTAGAACCTCACCTGACTTCATGTTTTAGATAATTGGAGTGCGAAGGCGAAAAGACGAAATACCACAGGGACTGGTAGAATGAGGCACCTGAAAATTGTATACCGCAGATTCAGGTACAGTTTTTGTTTTGAACGTAATTGGTTTTATGAGCTTGATTTACTCGTGTAAAACTAAGGATATTATCCTGGTTTCATGGGGATGGAAGATTATTTTTTCTGCCACTAACCTTCGAATCAGTGTAGATTTTATTGATCTTTCAATGAACAGTATGAGCTATAAACATTTTGTGCGAGACTTGAGCTAAATCCCCCCAAAATGTAATAAAGTTGGTAATATCTACATCTCATTTTATTAGTAAAATTTGTCAAGATGGTGTGTGAATGAGGTCTGGAGTCAGGGTTTTAGTTTATGGCTTTGGGAAATTCTGTAGAAAACTTACAGCTTGCTGTTGTATTTGTATAGAAAGATACTTAATGATCTTGTTAAAGTTAGGCCTTAGAGTTGTTAGAAATACAGAATTTCAGTCCTGACCTAGACTTACCAGAGAAACTGCATTTTCAGAGCTTTTGAGGAGCATTTTAAGTCTCAACTTAGACCTTTGGGAGAGTGGGGGAGACCAGTGTCTTGTGCATTGTAAGAAGGATAGCAAAAATCCTGCCTTCTCAGTTCCATATTTTATAATTTGAAAAGCTCACAAGGCAGTTTGGGGGCATTGTAAACAAAACATGTTTAGGTTTGAGTTCGTGTGCTGAGGTAACCTTTGTATTGAAAACTGTTACACAGTTATGGACTTACATTGAGTGATATGCTGGTATAATGTAAGAGATAAGAGCATGGACTGAAGCCAAGCTTAACTTTTCTGTGCCTCATTCACGAGTCTAAAGGAATAACAGTACTTACAGTAGGTAAGACTTCTAATGAGTTAAAATGTATCGTTAAGCAGTTTAGAAGATCTGTGCCTTTGAACATGATTGTTGTTTTTCCTTGGCTAAAGTAGTTAGGATATTTGCTTCATAGCCTGGACCCTTTTTCACAAATAAGTTAGGTCTCTTAGGCACTGGAGAAATGCTAGCCCAGTGTAAGGTACAACAAAATTAATTGAGGTTTTTTTCTTCTGTGGCAGTTAACTTTATCTCTTAAATGTATATATTGAAGCAGAAAGAAGCAATTAAATGTTGCAGCTTATCCGTGATGTTGAAAAAATAAATGTCTGAACATATGAATTCAATACTGATTTCAGCATCTAACTGAGATAAGCTCATTAAAATCTGTTTTAACAAAAAACGTATATAATAAGGTCGCTAAAGTAACGGTTCTTGTTTTTAATGTGATGCAGGCATGGATTCCGTGAAGGAACAACACCTAAACCGAAGAGGGCAGCTGTTGCAACATCCAGTTCATCTTAAGGATTTCAGTGACTAGTCACACAATAAATGTTCTGGTTTTAAAAAAATACCCGGTGTGCCTAAGGTACTTTTAATAGGTTTGTATTAAACCTACAGTGAATTACTGTAGGTTTGGGCATGGGGCTGCATAATACCAGATTTACTTGTTCAGTGACTGTTTCAGAACACAAACTTTTGAATTGGTTGTGGTGCTGCTTTAAGAAAATGAGAAAAGCAGAATTCCAGATCCTTCATGCAGACAACAGTGGAAGGTGATGGTAAAAAATAGAGTAAGAGTTAACACAGCAGTTTTTGTGCATAAGTGGATTTTTTAAATGTAAATAGAAGCAAATAGCTTATAATTTTAGCAGCAGTCATCAGCTAAAGTCTGTTGGTTTTGGGAAGTGGTATGTTAAGGCTTAGAGTATCTGAACATGAAGGGTAGGAGTTGAATTCTACTTTAGAAAAGTGAGCTTGACTCACTCTACTATACAAAAGGCTTGGCCCCTAGTATATAGGCTGTGTGTGAGGTTTAAGGTGGCCAGCGAAGTGAAAACCTGTTTGGGTATGTTAAGTAGGGTTAAGAGAACGTCTGTAGGGGCCACATGAAGGGCACTGAATAGGAAGTAAAGAAAATCCAGGTATAAACCCAAGTAAACGAAAGACAATGACATAAAGGCCCCTGGTAGAATTTTTGTGGCCTTCACCTGGATGATTATTGCTTTTCCTGTTTTATAGGACTGTGAAATTTTTTTGCCACTCTTCCAGTTCTTCTTGTTTACAGCCATTTTTTAAAAGTGAGGAGACAAGGCCAACTTTGCTGGACTGCTGGTTGAGAGGAGGGAGAAGATTATTGGAACGGCATAAAATTGTAAGGTAGCCAAGCTATGTTGTGCAACTTGTAGCTTCCCATTGTATTTAGTATAACATCCTTGCCCTTAATTTAAAAGGGTTTTCAGTATCTTTGTTGCCTCACCAGTGTTACCTTCTGTGCACCCTAGGGTGCTTTCCCAAGATAGTAGCTAAATCTGCCTACATCCTGCTTTTGTTGGCTCTTAACTCACTTGAACAAAAGCCCCTTTTGATCTAAATCTGCATTGGGCTTTTAGTATATGAGACTCAGTATAATGACTTGGTACTTGGGGTGCATAGTTTAAAAAGCATGGTTCCTGGAGTCTAGTTGCCGTTTGTTAGAGTGGTTTTTCCTGTTTGTGCTCACTTGTAATCTGGAAGACTAATAGTAACTTAGAGACTTGTGAGCACAGTCAAATAGTTCCAAAAATGGAGAGTCTTTTACAATGGGGACAACTTAATTTAGGGTTAGTTTTGCAAAAATGATTTTGATCTCCCAAAGCAGCAATTTTAGAGTATTTTGGCTTGAGAGAAAAGAAATCTATCAAGATTTTTCTGAAATCTTCCTGTGTTACTAATATTTGGTTCCTAAATGATGGAGCCTATTAAGACAAGTAATGCCCAGTGTGGAGTAAATGTTAGCCTTTGAGGCAAGTCGGCACTGACCAAAATAGCTGTGAGATTTGCTGGATCCTGGGCCAGAAAAAGCAGTTGGCATAAAGGTAAGGTGACAGGTGGGCAGTGATGCATTGGGGAAGGGCTGTGTGTTCATTGAGTAGAGGGTGAGCTTAAAAAATCCTTACCAGTACCTGTGGCCCTTGGTATAGTACATTTCAATGACTCGTACAATAGTAAGTATCCTTATAGACCATAGAAGGTACTTAGACCATACAAAGTTGCTCTGGTCACAGTTTGTTACGTTAATACCCAGGAAGAAGCTATGAGAAAGATGGCATTGGGTTCACACACTCAGAAATAGAGTGTTAACAGGTGGATTCAGTGGCTCATTGAATCCTAGTTCGCAGAAAGCTCATGTCATATCTCATGATGTCCTGAGGATCAGAGTTGAGGTTTCGGGCAGCAGGTCTCAATCTCTCAAGATGACTGGGGCCAGTGCAGTGACAAGTATACATGACAGACATTTGTTGCTCACTTACCTACACAGCTAAGAAATTTGTGTTTCTTGGGTGGAGAGCACTCAGGACCCAGATGGGTTTCACCAGTGGTTACTTAAAATGGAAACCCAGGTATACAGATCGCCTCATCCCCTGTATACTGTTTACTCAGCCCTCTAATCACAGCTACTGTGGTTTGTCAGGTTAAGAAAATGGTGGGATGTTGGCCAGAGAAAAGTATAGAGGTAAGCAGTGATGAGATAACAAAAGGTCTCAAGTACCATGTTAACAAGTTTGGACTTTAGCCAGAAGGCAGTGATAGGTCATTGAAGGTTTCAAGCACATAGTGACATGATTAGTTCTCATTAGCAATTAATATGTAAGGTGGTGTGGATGAGATGTGTCTTCAAGCTGGGAAATCAGGCCATGGCTGCTTAAGTAGTTAATGTGATAATCATGAGTGCATAGACTAAGTTCTGGCAGTGGGGCTGGTCTCTACTGAGAAGGTCTGAAATTTGAATTGAGTAGCTTCCAGGCCCCTCCATTTCTTTCTGTATTGTAAGCTATGTGAGGATTCCGTCAGACCATGTACAAAAACAGAATTTTGTATAATGCAGTGGGCCTCAAAAATAGCAGGAAGATGGTCTTAGCTGGCAGGTTTCCAGCTAAGGCAAGAAGGTGGTTGATGGATTGACTGAGGAAATGTAGAACAGAGACAGTTGCGGGTGGAGGGTGAAATACTAAAGCTGGGTTTATTGAGATACCTGTGAGAGACTAGGAGGAAGTGTCAGGAGTAATGTAAACCTGGTGGCAGAAGTGGGAAGCCCAGGCCAGAGAGTTACATTGGAAAGTAATGAACAGTTGTGAAAGGGAAGTGACTTTAAGGGTTAGAATAGTGATGATACAGGGGGATTGTGAGACCTGGTGGGCATTTAGAAATGGCAGAAGGATGCAGTCTTGACTGATGAACTTTAGTCACTATCCTTGACTCAGTAATGGTTGAATTTATTTGAAAATATGCAAACTCAAGAAGACAGTTTAGAGATACTCAAAAGATTTGGGGAGATGTCCATAGGAGTTAAGAGGAAAGAGGAGAGTGGTTCACATGTTCAGCATAATATATATGGTGGTGCACATATGTGTGCCGGGCTATGTTAGAGATGCAGTAGAGATGGACAGGTGACATCAGTGGTTGTAGAGTTAATCCCCGGAACTAGGATGGTTGAGTCACTCAAACCAAGAAAGGAGATAACTTTCAGGGGGCATTCAGTCATAATGTGGCTCAGGTCAAAAATGAAGATTTTAAAAAGAAAGGATTTGGCAAAATTGAGGTTCGTGGTTTCCTTCCAAAAGCCTTGTTTCAGTAGAGTATCAAGAATGAAGCCAGTTTTCTAGGGGTCTAGGGGAGATCAGACAGTGAATAGGGAGCTTACTTTAAAAAACAAAAGATATTCTATGGTTCCTTTTCATTTTTGTTGATACAGTGTCCCTTTTCATGAACCAAATTTAGTCAGCTGCTATGTGCATGAAGCAGTTCAATGCCCACAAGAGAGTAAGTGAAAAGACAGGATGCTGCTCTGGCAGTTCAGCTGTGGGTACGTAGGCGTGTGTGTGTGTGTGTCAGGATGACAGTGAACAAACAGCAATTTTAGACAGCGGTAAGTGCCATAAAGACAAAGATATAATGAATGTGGCAGACAATCAGGAAGCTAATGATAGGGAGCCACCCCTCCAGAGACAGCAGCCATTCAGGCAGCAATTGTATTCCACCTTTTTTGTGTTCTGGGTTGCAAAACAACCTGGCTGTAATTAGCCAAAACTGTAATACTGTATATTCATGTTAAGAAAAGCACAGTAATCCTTTAAAGAATGATGTTAAGAACTTTGTTTCAGAGAAAGCTTTTTCTCACATATGGATTCTATCTTTTTGTTTTTTTTCCCTCAAAACACAAGGTAGCTTGAATCATCATCATCTGGGAGAAGGATAGGGCAGAGACTATCAATAACCTCGAGAACCAAGAATGGAATCTGAAGCAAAAGCTTTCTTGTATAGTAAGGTAGAGATAACGTGTTTTAAGGAAAATAACAATGAAAAAATGATATTCAAATATGCAAGTCGTCTGTAGAACAGGCATATGTGGATTGAGATAAAAACATAACTTAAATTTTGTGTCCATATCTTTGTACAGTGGGATTATGCTCCAGTGCCCCAAGATAAAGACTTGGTTTGAGCCATGTATTTTTAGGTCACTCACATAATAAAATACGTTTTCCAGTCATGATTAATGTAAACTTTTTATTTCAATAAGTAAAAGGTCGAGTCCCATGTAATAGTCATAACTCAAAGGTAGTTAACCTTGACTCACTTCTTGCAGCTTGGGCTTCCTTTGGGATGGAAGCCAACAGTGGAGAAGGGGGCATGACCCCCTCTGATCTCAGCTTTCTTCTTGCACATCTCTGCAGCTTATGAGCTGCAGTTTCACTCCTTAAGTGTGGTTAAAGGGTGGTGAGGAGGAGGAAGGAGGTGTGAGGGGATGGGGTGGATTCATAATTCCTGAACCTAGCAGATTGATTTTTTTCTCTGGGGCATGTGTATAACCTCTTTGGAGGTTCCTTGTAGAGGTCCCATCTCAATTCAAAGTAGACTTTTGTGACTCCTTTCTAACCCCTAGTATCTGGCCACTTTCTCCAGAGGTTTTCTCTGCTTCAGAGGTCTCTCTTGGCAGGATGCAAAATTATCTCACGCTGTTTTCTCTTTCCAGAGTGGCCCACATGTCCACAGGAAACATTCCCACATCCTGGGCTTGAACAAATTCAGAAGTGCAGAGAGGTTTCTTGGCAGCAGTCCTCTCCTGGAAATTGACCAAAACAGTGGTAGAAAGCATTTTGAAGCTCTCTGGTGCCTTTGAAGTCCTTCACCAGGTTGAGAACTAGAAGGTAGTAACCCCTTTTTTCCCAAGAAAGCTGAATTTAAAGTGCTAAAACTTCAAAGAAGTTATTCAATCTCTTGTACCCCTTCTATATCTTTGATCTAGCTGAGGATTCTGAAAGCTGTGATCAGGTTCTTGGATATATTTTCTTTGGGGAGTTAGTGTGTGTGTGTCATTGTAGTTTTCGGAGGCAATAAGAATCTTATTTTGATAGTATTAAATTTATATAGCTTTGTAAATACCTAGCATTTTGCCCTAAAAAATGTTGAAAATTACTTGACTCCTGGGTGTTAACATAGAGAAAATTTGTAATTCCTTTAGGTTAAGAGTTTTTTTTAAATTGACAACTGGTAAAATGTTACCAGAGAAAGTCCAGCTTCCTCAAGGGTAAGTGGTAAGGGTGTCTGAGGAGTAAGCAAAATGGTCTTATGCCAGGTGTCAAATGGTATTTCAGGAACACAACCATCCTGGGCAAATGGAAGAAACAATTGGCAGCATGTGGTATAGCCACCAGGTAGTGAAGAAGGCAGGGCAGAAACTTTACAGTCCTTGTGTCACAGAAGCAGCCCTTGGCAGTGAAGCAGCTCCCTAAGGGAGAAGAGAGGAAGCAAGACGCCTCAGAGAGAAGTAGTTCCAATTAAGGTTGGCTCTGGGGAGAGAAACCTCTAAGAATATATTCCTATGAGGTAGCACAGTGCTTTTGCAGCTGTAAAACACTTGAGATGGTGTAATGCAACTTTATTTTGGAGAGGAAAAAACTAAGGCAGAGATTTGTTAAAGGTATGTTTTCTTTTGCCGGTAATAAAGATTCTGACCAGTAAGTTATTGGAAAGCATTACTTTAATAGATAGTATACAATGTAAGATTACTTCTGTAGCTAATGTGGCTTCATTACATGGAATACCTGCTCATCTATGGCCTGACTCTGGAACCACAGTGTTAATTATACATCGCAAAGTACAGAGCTCTAAGGTATCATTTCACATATAATTTTAGCATTGGGTTAACTTGCTTAAAAGGCAATAGCAAGCCATTTCCAATCTTGATCAGAGCAAGTCCATCCTTTCCTGATACCCTCCCCCTCAAAAGAGTCCTGTAGGAGAATATATTACGGAGTAAAATTCTCAATAGTTTTACATTTTTTAACAGTTTTATATTTTGAATACTATATTAGTCAAAGAGACAACTCTTAAAAGTTCAAATAGGTTACTCAAAGACAGTATCACATTCTGCCTTCTGGGTTTTTTCAATGTCTTGAGTTTGGGTCAATCTAAAATCTATGTAGATAAAAGCATGGACAGGCATTTATTTGCAGACTTCAGTTGCTGCCCTAAAACATGGTAGTTTATTATATAAGTACCTAGAATGACATGCAGAATGTGAACATCTAATACAAATAGTTGGTATATCAGGGTTCAATGAAGAGAAGAGAAATTGTGTAATTATTTAAACAGGAAACAATATAGGAAGAGCAGAAATAAGGAGCAGTCACTACCCCTAGAGTTGAGACAGAACACCCAAGGAAAAGGCCTCCCCACCTCTGGAGCTGAGATTCAGATGTTGGAGAAGGTATGGCAAAGTTCACAGGATGTTAACGTATCTTGTTGGGACTTGCTAGAAGCCACCAGGGGAATGCCACTGGGGATGCCATTCATGGGGAGGTGCCCTGCCTGACAGCGTTCCTCTGAGAAATTGCCTGGTTGGGCTCTGGGGGAAGTTACTGGTAGGTCCCTCTTGCCAGTGCACATGTCAGGAATCTGACACCTGGAGAAGCCAAGACTGCAAGGGCCTGGCACTAGGAAAGCCCCCATACTGTGAGAGCTTAGCCCTGGAGAAATCAGAGGACTCTGAAGTTCACCAATAATCACTTTGATGCAGCTTAGAGCTCTGCCATATTTAACGTGTAAAATCTGTGCTGACTGGGCTAATAGAAATGCTTGTAAACTGCTAGACAAGCATTGCTAGTAGGAACATGTGAGCCACAAATGCGAACCACATAGTTTTAAATTTTCTAGTAGCCACATTTTAAAAAAAACTAATTTTAATAATTATTTTATTTAAACAGTATGTCCAACATATTTGCCATGTAATCAGTACAAAAATTACTGATTTTTTTTCATACTAAGTCTTCAAAATACAGTGTGTATTCTGTACTTAAAGCATATCTCAATTCAGACGCCAAATTAGTCACATTTCAAATGCCCAATAGCTATATGTGGCTGGTAGTTACCCTACTGGGTAAGGTGCAAACCTGAACAAGAAGCTTAGTGTTTTGGGGTTGAGTGATCATCTAGTAAAGTTGTCTTCATCAAAAATGGTGCTGTGTTCACCATGTAAGTATATAGGTAAAATCCAAACACAAAAGTTACTATCTTTGTGAAAGGGTTAGGCAAGGATTTCTTAGATAATATGTCATAAAAAGCACAGTCTATACAAGAAAAAATTGGTAAGTTGCATTTAATCAAAACATTTCTGTTCTCCAAAAAGCACAATTGAGAAAAAGACAAGGCACAAACTTGGATATGCAAAACGTACTTGATAAATTACTTGTTTTTAGAATAACTTAATAATAAAATTGTCCAATTTTTTAACTGGGCAAAAGATCTGAAAAGACAGTTCACCAAAGAGTAAATATGCATGGCAAATATGTGAAAAGATAACTTCATTAGACATCAGGGAAATGCAAATTAAAACCTCAGTGGCATAGCACACAACTGTAAATGGCTCAAAGAAAAACAAAACTACAGAACAACATGCTAACAAGGAACAATTGAAATGCTCATTCATCACTGGTGGAAATGCAAAATGGTATGGCCACTTAGAAAACAATTTGGCTGTCACAGTTGAACATATACCTACCTTACAAGCCCAGCAATCCCACCCACTCTTGGGTATTTATGCAAAAGAAATGGGAGTGCAAACTTGTAAGTAAATATATATAGCAGGCTATATTTCTGCTCTGAGAGCTAGGAACAACTCAAATGCCATAAGCTAGAGAATGGATAAACAAATTTGGTATATCCACACAACAGAATACTACTAGGCAACAAAAAACAAGATACTGACACATGCCAATAACATGGATGAATCTCAAAAGGGTACTAAGTGAAAGAAGCTGGATGCAAAAGGCTTATGTGTCATTCTGAGAAGGGCAAAATTATGTGCACAAGTCAAAAGGGCACAAGGGATCTTTTTGGGTGATGAAAGTATTCTATATCTTGATTGTGATAGTTACACAGCTATACATTTTTCAAAACTCATTGGATTCTACACCTAGAAAAGGTGAATTTTATTGTATGTAAATTACACTTCAATAAACTTTTAAAAAAAGGAAGAAGACAATGGAGCAATGCCTTCAAAATTCTCAAGGAAATTCTTTTCAAACTTTAAATTATCCAAATTATACATTGTAAGGGTAGAATAGAGGTATTATCAAACAGGCTCTCAGAAAAATTTACTTCCCTGAGCCTTTCTCATAAAACTACTGGTGGGATATGTTCCATCACAATGAAGGAGAAAAAGCAAAAAGGGAAATCATGGTATGCAGGAAATAAATCTAACAAAGGAGAAAGGTAAAGGGAATCTCCTAGAAGGTGGTGAAGGGATTCTTGGGTGATAATTCTGAGACACGTGTAGAAGGCAAACAATTGAAGCAGTAAGAAAACTAGGAATCATGTTCAAGAACAACTGATAATATACACATCATGTGTTATAAAGCTTTGAGAGATTTTAGACAATTGGTGGAGGTTTGGGTTGAATCAATGACAAGTACATAGAAAACTAAGCAAGTAAAAATATGACTGACTATTAGCACCTACCTGTTAACACACCTGCATTTCAGTGTCTTCAGAGAAGATTTTAAACGATTGGTAGAAAGTTTGAGTTTATAAGTACATAGAAACCTAGGCAAGTGAAAAACAGGACAAAGTATTAACTCCAGATAAAGCCGTCTAGTAGATGTCAATTGTAATGTATGTAATCCAATAAGGCACCTAGAATATTCTCCAAGTTAAAATTTCATGAGTCTAGTAATTTAGACCCATTTTTGTAAAAATAAAATACACTAGACTTAGAACAAATTCTTAACACAAAGAATAAAATTCCCATATAAAACCAACTTAATTTCTGAAATTAAAATGCTACACATTTCATAACGTACCTGACTTTGTGTTTTACTCCATGTGAAAGAAATCTATATAAAGAATATGAGAATTAGTAACTTTATGTACTGATTACATATGTGTGGAATAGTATCCTTTACTGAAAGAGAAAAAAAATTAGGTCTAAGTCTTCCTTCTTACGTATTTTATTAGTTATTAAGGAAATTGACAAAAGTTAACGAAGAGCTTAGTTCTTCAGAGTATATCCTTTTGATACATTTAACAATATTTAACAAAGCTGTGCCATTGTAAGATGCTTTTAGAACATGTAAAATATTCAAAAATATTTGAAGAAATTATTTTAGAATGGAAACCAATCTTGCTTAGATTTTTTAATATTATAATTTCCTTGTTTCAAAAACATAGACAGGTGATGGAAAAGATACAAATGAACCTTAAGTGGATATTGCAAAAGGAAAGCAGCCAATCTGAAAAGACTAATTGTCCTATGATTCCCATAATAAGACATTCTGAAAAAGACAAAAAGAGGGAAAAGAGAAGGGTTGAATAGGTGAAGCACAGGGGACTTTTTCTTAGGATGGTGAAAACATTATGGTAAGAGTGGATACATGGCACAGTTGTCAAAATCCACAAAACCTTTCAGCACAGAGTGAGTGAACCTTCATGTGTGTAAATTTTGAAGAAATCATTTGGGTAGTTGTGTAAGGCCTAATATTAAGGTTCAATATTGTATGTTGCTTGCCATCTAGTAATATTGGGAGGGCCACAAATGGCCTAACTGTAAGTTCACCTCCCCATTATGCTCCCATAGATGAGTTCCATACCCAGACAAACATCCTTATCAAAGGGCCAGGACTAATTAGTGTGAATCCCTGAGTAGTGGCTTTCAATTCCCTGCCAAATTGTAGAATTATTCAAAGAACTAATTACACAGTTCACAGGAAGCAAGGGGCATGCCACTGGGACTACAATGCCTGCCTTCCACAGCCTCTGGTTGATCATTCCGTTTTTAAGCACTGCCCCTATGTAGTCCTGCAAGCTGGGAGTTCATGTGACCACCAGACTGCTGCTGATACATCCGTCCCATGTTGGGTACCGTTTGTCCATCCCCATAACCCTAGCGAGGGAATTTCTCCCTCACCACTGGAAGGAGATTAAAACAAAGGTTAGGGCATCCCAGGATGGAGTGCAAAGAGAATCTGTCTATATGATAATCTGTATGAAACTATCACTGAAGAGGGTGGACAGTATTAGGTGTTTTGCTAAGGAAATAATGGAATCCAAGATCACCACTTGGAAATGAGTGGAGTCTGTAAGATAAAAGGAACTGCACACAAGCCCTGGACCCAAGTCGATAAAATTGTTATCCTCAGAGGTGAAGTTAACTCTGATACTTGCATAAATGTGTACTCCAAATGAGCAATTAACAATCGATTTTAGATAATGGAAGCTAGGTTTCTCACTGTTGGAGTGGGAATTTATAGATATGCAAAGAGAAGAGGCTAGAATAATCTATGTGGTAGTGGATTAGAGTTGGTTGCATGAATCAATAAGAGGTCATGTTTGGCTTAACATCGACAGGGGTGACTCCACATACAGAAATATTTAGAGAGATGGCCATAGTTATGGATTAGTATACACATATATTTTTCTTGCTCTGAGAGGGTCTAGAAGCAATGATACTTCAGACACCAAATCTTGGTTTTTAATTCCAGGACACTTTGGAGAAATGGTTGATCCTCAGACTAGGGCTTGAAATATACAAGATGAGCCTGGAGCATCTTGTAGTGCCAGAAAGTAAGTGCTAAGAAACAAATCATAAGAACTACATTGTTGGAAGTATGTCAGGGATATAGGAGCCAACTGAAAGAGCACCCTATAACCAAAGCTGGAACAATTTGAGCAATGAAATGAAGGACTATTGGATTATAATGCAGTGTATAAAATAAATATTCATGAGTCTATGCAGCTAGAAATAAACAGTTGAATAAATAAATAAATGGGAGAAAAGAGACAATTTATGTAGATACCCTACCCTAAAGGATGGAGAGCATACCTCCTCAATCCTTAACTGTAGGCTGTGCTTAGTGACTTCCTTCCAAAGAGTATAGAAAGGAGGAAAAGAGAGTAACTTGTAGTAGGGAAAACTGACAAACACAGCTTTGGCCAGGTGATCAAGGTCAACATCAACAGGAATCTGGAGAGTATGAACACTTGATATGGTGTGATTATAATGGACCGTTTTCTGTGTTCCTCCTCTCAAACCCACAACACCAGTCCAGCCATGAGAAAACATCAAATTTCAGGAAATAGAACTCCACAAAATACCAGATCAATTCACTTCAAAACTGTCAAGGTCATCAAAACCAGGAATATCTGAAAAGTCATCACAGCTAAGAGGTGACTAAGGAGATATGACAACTAAATGTAATGTAGAGCCCTGGATGGGATCCTGCAACAGAAAAAGGACATTAGGTAAAAACTAAGGAAATTGGAATAAATTTTGGATTTAGTTAATGATAACATCAGCATTGATTCATTATTGTAACAAGTGTACCATCTGATGTCAGCTCTTGGTAACAGCAAACTGGGTGAGGATTGTATGAGAACCCTGTACTATCTTCACATTTTTCCTGTAAACCTAAAGCTGTTCTAAAAAATAAAGTCTACTTAAAAAAAAAATCTGGGAAGCCAGAAGAATAATAACTTCAGCCAAGTAAATAATAAATGAATGAGGAAACAACATAGCAGAAGGAAAATACAATAAATCCAAGGATGAAGTTAGACTACTAGAGGGCATGCTGTCAGCAACTACATCTTTGTTAGATGTAGGCTGTAAATTTGGGAGAGCTGAAGAAAAAAACTTTGCATGTCTGCTCATAGCATCCCTGAAGACAGAGGACGGCGGCACAAGATCAGAGGTAGCAAAGCTGGGCAGCTGCAAAGGAGCCAGTCAAGAAGGGACAATACACATGTCTGGGTTGCCCAAACATCATTTTAATTTTATTTACCTGAGCTGTTCTTGGGAAGGTGTCACAAAAAAGGACTGAATAGTTTGGGGGTGGGATAAGACCTCCCCACCCCCACAGAACGCAAACTTAAGATGATCTAACTGCTAAGAAGGGAGGGTCTTTGTTCCCTGGGACACTGCTCCAGCAGTCCTCTTTCTGTACCTTTCCACTTAAATGTTGGACAAATTTTTAACCAATATTGTTTTAAGGGGACCAATTTAGTAGTCTGAGTCCATTATTAGCCTATTCAAGGCATCCACATTTTATCAGCTGCTTACATTACCTAATTGAGAAAAGCTAGTCTAACAGTGACCAGAAAAGGGCAGACCAATTCTTTCTGGTAGTCTCAAATGATGCAAGAATACAATTTGACTATCAGCCTATCCTTCAGGCAACCATCCAAGAACTTTATTTCCCTTAATTGATAAGAATAGGGTAGCAAAGAGTTTGGAGTTACAGTTTTTGGTGACTGAATATATTTTGTGCCGCTGATCATGCATAGATCCTCATGCCTGATGCTCAGCAAATCAACTGAGAGGTGGTCAGGGTTGATGTTTTCTTTTTAACGGTAAGTAACCCAGCTAAAACCAACCAACCACATACAGAGATGGGCCAAGGAAGTCCCTGTGTACGGTGCTGAGATTTTTCCCTAGAAAACAGTATGGGCCTATTTCTATACGGTAATTGAAGCTTAAAATTTGTTGTCAGGGTGAGTTCCAAACATTTCATCTTAAAAAAATTTCAAATCAGGAATTAGGAGGAATCATCTACCCTAGTTAACTAGGGAACAATTATCCACAAACTAATTTTAATCATTGTAACTTTCTGGGAAGCTTCTTTTAAATTGTCTGCTCTTCTTTCTGTCCAGGTTTATATTGATTCTGGATCTTCTTAACCATCTGTATTCTCTGAGTGTTCTGTCCTTGAATCCCTTAATACTACAAACTAGTGAGATCTCATTTATGCTTACTGCCCTATTTCATCTGCCATTTATTTGGTGATGGCAGCCAATCTGTATCTCGAGACTGACCTTTCTTTGTAGTAATAGACCTGTACTACCAGTATCATCCTGGATGTCTGTACCTGAATGTCTCTTAGATGCCTTAATGTTACAAATAGAATTCATTTATATTGAACCCCCATTTCCCATCCCCCTCCAATTCCTCCAGAAACTGAGGAGGTAATTAAGATTCCTTCCTTTCCCTCTCTGTCCATAACAATATCACTACTTGCTAATTCCACATCTAAGTAGTCTTGTGTTCTTCTTTTTCATACGTGGTGCCTGCCTCATTATCTCTTCACTAGATGTTTGCCAACAAGTTACAAAAGGGCACACAGGGAAAAGTCTGCCCCTTGTATCTGACTCTCAGTCACCCAGTTTCCATTCCTAAAGGCACCCATAGTTATCAATTTCTTTGGTAAAGAATGTATTTCTAAAATGCATCTATTTCACATCTTCCTGTGGCTCATTGCTCAGTAAGATAATGTTCATCTTGAGAAACAGGATTTAATCCTGTTTACCTCTTGTTTCTTCTAACAAGTCTCTCTGTACATCCCAATTTCACCTCCTATAACTACTTTGCTTTTCCCTAAAAAAGCCTAAGGCTTCCTTTCCTCTGTGATTTTATGTTTTTCCCTCTACTTGGGATGCCTGCCTCAAGTCCCTCCATCCCCTGCTGGCACACCATCTTTTAATTCTGCCCCAAATATATTCAAGGTCCACAGAGGACCCTTCATCCACAGATGAACTTACACCCTCCTCTCATGAAGCCCCTTTAGGACCACATATATGTTTTTATTACAGCACCTGTCACACTGCTTTGCTATATCAAAAACAGGACTGTGTTCCTTTGGTTTTTGAGTCCTCAGTCTAGCAAACTTTAATACCTAGCTGTTGTGTAATAAATACTGAATATTAGTTACAATGTAACTACAACTAAGGTAAGGAAATGTTAGGCTAGATTAACAGCAGCCCAATACTTAGACTTTTAAATATGGCTATCATATTTAGAGATCAACACCGAGGAAGGGTAATATCCACCTGACAGTGTAGGGTTTACTAACACTGCGATGGCCTTAAGAAGAAAAGACCGAGAGGACATAGAGCTCACTTAGACTCTCTGAGGGGCTAGAGGGGAAGTAACTGACAACTAATTATTGGGCTGCCCTCCAAGACTGGAGGTTCTCCACCAGGGTATTGGGTCATCCTGGTATGTCCTCATCAGCACTGAGATGTATTACAACATTTGAACTAATAAAAGCTTAAATACCGAAATTTGAAGACAGTTTACTTCCCACCTTCCACACCTAAAAACTAGAGTGGTTTCAAGGTTGCTCCCATAAAGTCACTCCTGCCGGCTGATATTCCAATATACTTTGCTGAGATAGCAGTAGAGTTACAGAAGATGGATCTGGAAACTGGATGTAAGCCACAATTTATCTTATCTTCATTGCTCTGGAAGATTTAGCATGTGAGTATTATCTATCCTGGGGTGAGGGGTGGGGAATACAGAGAACTGCCATTCCAGATCATGAGCTCCTCCAGGGGAGGGGCCATGACTTCAATTTGTGTCTATCCAGAGGGTCTGGCAGTTAACTGATGCTTGAAGAAACAGAAGTGTAAGTTTGGGGATGGATCGATGGGAGATTAAAAGAAAGAGAGGGTGAAGAAAATATGAAAACAACTTTGAAAAAGAAAGAGAAAAAGCAAAGGAATACAGGCGGCTTATTATTTACTCTCTCAGAAGCTGTTAATTGAACTTATTTTTTATCCCAACATAATGAAAAAAACAGCAATAAAAGTTGTGTAAGCAGAGACTATGGAAGACTGGATAAAATGACCTTTAACTTTCTATTCAATTATTTGATCTATGATTCTAGGTATTATTTCCCCAACAATACTCTTGAGTGACTAGTGCCATTTAATGAATATTTATTAAATAAAATCATAATTTAAAATAACATCAAAGCAGGAACAAACTGATGTTTTGGCTAAAAAAAGTTTAAATTACTTTAATTGGGTCTTCATAGTTTCATGAGGAGATTGGCAATAGGTTTGCAAAATTAAACTTGTTTACTCCCCTGTAAGATGCTCTGTGGTTTAACTGGCACTGAACAGAGCCGAAGTACCTTGTAATTTTTTTCTTTTGAGTTAAAAGAAATAACAAAAACTTGCTAGGCTATTCTAGACATGATGCAAATTTAAAGTAATTTAAGATGCTATTTCTGGAGGGGAAAAAAATAAGGTTGTGTTTTTTTTTCTTAAGACAATCCAGACAGCTCTCTCTGCTTTGGAGAGATCCAAAAGCCTGAATTGCAGAAACTCCCAAGGCAAAGAGGTAAAGGTGCAGAAAGCAGAGAACAAAAATTATCAATAGTAACCAATGACTGCCCTGCCCAGTACCACCTCAGTAGTCAAAGACTTCTTAACTTGTTGGCCCTTCAAAGTATGTACGGTCCTTAATAGAATAGCAGGATCATCTATCTAAGGGTACTTGTAACTTTCTCTGCTTTCCTTGATGTAATTCTGATCCCAAAACTTCTCCTGCAGTACTTTGCTTGAAACAAAGCAGAGCTTAATACATGTTCTTTAATTTCATAAATAGAAAGTATATAAAAACCAGTAGAATTGGGTAACTTTCATTTGGAAGAAAAAAGGTAACAATTTCAGTCTTTTATTTTTTTATATTATTTTTATTAAGACTCCAACTCTTTGCCCATTGACACTGGTCCAAAAGCTGTGACACTGCAAAACTGAGATCACATTAACTTGTTTTTTTTTGGACACATGGTTTTGCTTATGTTAAAAATACATAATTGAGTAACAAACTCACTTAAAAATTCCATTACATATAAGCATACTTTCGTACTTCTGTGATATGGCATGATACCATTTGTATAGATAATAGGCTAAATCTTCTTAGAAGTAGGATAAATATTTGTCGATTGATTGGGTTGATGCAATTGAAAGACGTTTTCAGTTCAAAGTCTACATTTTACTGATACTGTAAAAATATTCTTATATATCAAAAATGTCTGGGTAACATCCCACTCCCGAACACACATATATTCACACATTCCTCTACCCGTTCCTTCCAACAGCTTGCTTTGGGAAGGAAATTTCTGGACAGCATCCCCCAAGGAGCAAAGACAGACAACGCTACCTTCGAGGTGCAACCTACTAGCTCAAAGTAAAATAAGAGCAGCGGGTGGAGCCGGGCACGTAGGGGAAACTACCACAAAGATGCAAATGACAACTCCCTATGTCGTCTGGATTACATCCGAAGAGGAAAAATAAAAAAGGTTAGAAAGCTGTGGCTGGGCGTTGTCCCCTGCCATCTTTGAGTTCTCGCTGCACTAGTAACGGGCTGCTCCAGCGCCGGTCTCCCGCCTTGGAATCACAGCGGACTCGGGAGTAGAGGAGCCCACTGAGCGCAGAGCCTCGGCCAGGGAGGACCGCGGCGGAGGGGCCACCGCCCTGGCCAGCAGTCTAGGAAGCCCCTCCCGCGCGCAGGTGGCCGGGAGCCCCAGGCCAAAACGATGCGCGGCGAGGAGGAGAACCGGTGAGCCGGAGCCCCTGCCGGCACCCCCGCGCGCCCCGCCAGGGGGAGCGACAGCGCCCGATGGCCAGCCGCAGGGACCCGGCGGGCGGCGCTGGGCGTCGGCGCGGCTCCCCTCCCGCGTCGCCTCCTCCCTCCCCACCCGCCCCCGGCGCGGCCCTGCCCGCCCCCTCCACCCCGTCCCGCGGCGCCGTGCGCAGGCTCAGTTCCTGGAGAAAGATGGCGACAGCCGAGAAGCAGAAGCACGACGGGCGGGTCAAGATCGGACACTACATCCTGGGGGACACGCTGGGGGTCGGCACCTTCGGCAAAGTGAAGGGTGAGGACCCCCCGGGGCAAGGCTCGGCCCCAGCCCGGGATCCGGGCGACTTCGTCTTTCGCACCTCCTCATCCTCCCCGGCCCCTGCGTTCCTCGTCGCCCTGGCTCGGCAGCCCCCGTCCTGCCTCCGGCGGGACGGCAGCCGCGGGACTGCGGCGCGGCCCTCCCTGGCCGGGTGGGGGCGCGGGGGGGGCGGGCCTGTCTCCATGACGACGGCGCCGCGGCCGGAGGGGCTTCTCGGGCGCGGGCTGGGATGCGGAGGTGCGAACTTTCCCAGGTGGGGCGGCCGGGGGTTGCGCGGCGCGCTCCGGCCGCGGGGTAGGCGCCGGGAGCCCGGCCGGCAGCCCCGGGGAGGCGGCCTCCTGCTCGCCCCGCTGCGCTCTCTCGGCTCAGGGCCAGCGCATCGCTGCCGTGACATTGTCCGTATTTTCGTCCTCTTTAGGAGGCTGTCAGCTTACCTGCCCAGGTTCTCAGGTGTGAAATGTGCCCACACCCGCACGCCAAAGTAAAATGGCTTTGGGGATAGCCTATAGAATTATACAAAAAAATACCCAAAACAAAACAGAAGGCCGTCTCGTCGGAAAGGGTGATTAATTTTTTTCGTAGCAGTTAAGTACATATAAATGGGTCTTATGTTGGCCCTGCATGGTTTATGTTCCGAAGGCAGACTCTGTGCCTTCAGGGTTTGGGAATTACCAGTTTTGCTGTTGCTGTGTACCAAATGTGGTAGTGCAGACGTTACCACCAGATAGTATTTATTAGCTCATTAATGCAGTTCGTTTCCATTCATTTTCATAGGATATTTATATTTTAATAAGCTAGTGCACATCATTTGAACTTTTATTTTGAAAGAAAAGCGTGGAATCTTTTACCCTTGGGTTTCAACACAGTATTCTTCTGGAAATAAACTTGCTCTCCTGTCCACCAACTGTGGCACAAGAAGTTTAATTTGCAAACTTTGTGAGGTGCATTTTTTTTCTTTAAAATATTTGACTTTGTATTAGGGGTATAAAGGAAGGAAGTATGGAACTGATAAAAAATAATTTATGCTTTGGGTAAAAGCTATGACTTGCATATACTAAGCTCTTGGTAAATATTTGACTTGAAAGAAAAAAAGTTTGTGAAAGTCTGTTCCGTGAATTAACTAAGCCTTGCTCTACCAGAGCTAAGTAAACATTTTCTGATTTTATCTAGGGATGGAAGAGGAGAACCCTTCCTTTTCTTGCCTTTTCTGAGTCATAGAACTGGAAAATTGCTGTATAGCCCACAGGGAAGCAACTGCCTAAACCTTCTTATGAAAATCAGCAAGGCCAACAATGTAAGAAAGTAAGAAGCAAATGCAGGAATAGAGTAATAACAGTGTGTAGGGTGGGTCTGTATTAGCCCAGTAAGATGTTTCTATGCCCTTGAAGTTATTTATTTTTGGCTATGCTGTCTTTTTACTTATTAGTTATTACAGCCTTATTTTACAAGTATTTGGAAGATATATGCTCATTAAAACCCCCAAATAGTGATGTCAGTCTTGGTGTCCCCACCTCTCTCACAGTTCTTCTGGGATTGGGTGTTCATCATTCTCCTAATACAGACCTGAGCAGAATTAGTTCTCATTTTTTATTTGCTAGGAGTTTTTTGGCATGGAAGGTAGGAAAGGAAAAGGAAACATTTCATTTTCTGGATTTGATTTGGCTGTGTTGTGAATCCTCCAGGGACTGTGTTCCTTAACTTTCACTCCTCCACAGGTTTCTCTCTTGAAGTACTGCACACTGTCAAAGTCAGCAACCTCTCCAAATACAGAAAGGCCAGTACTAGTCGAAGAATCACAGGTTTCATAAATATGGTTAAATATGTTCATAAATACTTTAGTTGGTGTTGGACAAAATCCTTAACCAGTGCATTTTTAAGTTGTTACACACTTGGGACACTTTTTGCCGGAAGAAGAGTAATAGAAAATCCAGCTCAGCCTAGCCAAGAACGTCTCTTTCTATGAGTCTCTCTTCAGAGCAAGGAAGCATACCTCTTAGGAGTCTCATTGGCTCTTGCAGTCTCTCTGGCCGAGGGAGCCATGCGCCAACTGGCTTAGGCTTGTGTTTTAAATAGGCACCAGCAAGGGAGAGGGTGTTACCCTTGGAGGAATATGGGCCACTCTTGGATGTGTGGGGGGCATCTTTTTCTGAAGTACTTGGATAGTATGTGGATCCAGGGTAGACACCAACACAGAAATGGGTATTAATTGATGGGGGGGGGCAAGGGGTACTTAGATGCTTAGTAAGCAGGCAAAAAACGACTATACTGGTGATGTTGGTAACTTATGCTAGCCTTAACTGACATGAATTCTTGTGAATAATATGATTAGCTATATATTTCAATGGAGACAAGCTGGAGTAGATAGAGCTTTTAAAATTAGTTATTCACATTGGTGAATTAAACATAGAAAAGCAATCTAATAGCAGATGTGATATTGATATGTAGAAAAATTCCCAGTAGGATATTCCATTTAGAAGAACTTTAATTTTGGTAAAGTTCTTCTTTAGGGGGTTGGGGTGGGAAAGAACTGTATATTTGTATTGATCATTCTATTTCCTGTTAACAGGCTAAAAAAAAATTCCTTTGGTAACTTAATGGTAACATTTTGAGGGAAAAGTTTAAACATATAAGAAGGGTTAGTTTGGAATTGTGTTTGAATATTCTTTGATTATTTCCAAGGTTTGTTTTCCCCCCCTTGGTTGTCAAGGTGTTAGTCTCTACTCCCTTGCAAGGTTCACCACTTCTTTTTCCTCCCAGGTAGAACAGTTATAAAAGCATCATGAACAATTGTGTTATTATTGCAGTAAATTTAAATGGCAGTTTTTATTAAGTTTTCAAGAGAAGATGGTTTCTTGAGTTGGGTTGGTGTTCTTCAGCAAATGAGTTGTTTATACATATGACTTATTTATTAAGTTGATGAGTATTTCCACATAAAACTACAATTTCAGGTAAATGGTGACTGTTCTTTTTGTGAATGAATCAGTATAAATTATTTCAAAATATATTTAAGGGAAAAATCTATATATGAACTAGAGCTATATATCAGCATGGATGAATCTCAAGTAGATAAGGTTAGGACACAAAAGCGTAAGTACAAGATTATGTACAGTCATGTTATTTATGTACATTTTAAAAACATGCAAAAACACTCAAATATTGCTGGTGGGAATATAAATTAATACCACTTCTGTAAAGTATGACAGTATTTATTAAAGTTAACCCAGCAATTCAACTTCTAGGAATTCATCCTATAGATATACTCATGTGTGAAATAATGAGTTATTCATTCCCATACAGTTTGTAAATACAAAAGATTGGAAGTAATCTTGTCTAGTAGGAAAAGACCTAAATTATGGTTTATCTACATGGTGATATCCTTACATACAGTAAGAAAATGAGATTTTATAGAATTTAGGGACCAATTTCAGATGTATATTGTTCAAAAGAAAACTAAGGGCATAGTAGAACATACATATAGGATACCTACCATTTGTGTATAAAAAGCAGGGGCAAATTATGTAGGTGTGACTACTTGCCTATGTGTAGAGTGTCTCTTTAAAGATATACATGAAACTGTTAGATTAGCTGATCAGGGAAGGGGAACTAGGTAGCAAGGGGACAACATTTCATTGTATATCCTTCTGTACTTTTGAATTGTGTAGTGAAGGTATTATGTATGCAAAAGAATATATAAAATTAAATTTGTAAAACTAAACTTATGAAATACATTGTTACTACGTTGTTTATGGATTCATACACATTCAGGATAGTGGTTACCTCTGGGGGGAGAGAAGAGAAAGGGATCTGGGGGGAGCCACACAACCTTCACTTGCATCTGTAATGTTATATTGCCTGAATTGGTGGTGGATGGGACATAGGTATTTGGTTTGCTTTTGGGGATGATTGAAATGTTTTTTTAAGAAAAGGCACCTTTCTCAAATTTCCACCTATAGCTTTTAAAGCTCACCACTCCCCAGGATTAAATTATTTTCCTAATCCTTTTAACAGTGAGATTTTTATTCTCCAATTTTAGAAGGGGAATTAAATGGTTAGGTGATTAGAATATCTTCAGTAGTTATTTCTGTCTTTGTGGCAACTATTTCCTATTTAAAATTCTGTTTCAAAGTATGATCTTGTTTCATTTCAGGATTACATACCTGATTAGAAGAGCGTATATTACAGTGTTCTCCAGTTAGACAAAGTTCCCTTTAGAAAGCTCTAACATGTTGTCAGCTAATATTTAGTTGACTAATCTGCTGTTCTTGTGAGGGAGACATTGTGAATTCTGGTAACTTTTGTTGTGAGTGACTTGCAAGTCTTCCCTGGC